ATAAAGAACATAAAAATATTCTTATTATGCTATGCTCTATTTTTCTAATGTTTTACTTAACGATTATATCAAAAAGAAATATAATCAATGTAGTGCCGAAAAGGGCGAATCAAAAAATAAGAAAAGAAAACTAAATACTTTCAATAAATAATAAGTACCAAAAACAATTCATCTTCTAAAATTAAAAGCCAATATGAAATTGAGCATGAAACCAATTACCAGACTGTGACATCAAGAAGTATGTACCTCCTAATACTTCATCTTTTATTTTTTAATTGCTTTCAAAAAACAACCGAGCCTAATATGATTGTTTTGAATAAGATAAAAACGCATCTTATTAAAATAATAATATAGGTAAAATAGACTCTTAGAATCCTAGGATATGAGCGTGTACTAATTCGGTTTTCATAGCCATAATTTTTTGAAAAAACTAGCTAAGTGTCTATGACAAAAAATTCATCAAAAAAAGCTCTACCATCAGCTCGCAAACCCAGCCAAAACATGTAATGAACCAGTATTATTTTCCGTTTTGTGCAAGGCCGTTGGCCATTTATTTATTTAATCAGTTTAATTGGGTGAAAGCAATTAACCGCGAGTCGAGCCAAACCGTCCGTTTGCCCCACTTTGTCGAGGGCCGCGCGCATAATCCTACCACGACTCCTGTCTAGTCAAGGAAGGATTGAAGCAATAAAACCAACGATCCTGGACTAAAATCCTGAGTTCGCTGCCAGAACTCGAAGAACTCCAACACCAGCCTGAGGACCACCCCGAGGACCTGAAAACCGACCAGAGACCGCCACCCGACCCAAGGAGTTAGCCGCCAGAAGCCTCTATCGGGAATAAGTAAGCAAATTGTATTTTTCCTATATTTATCTGTCCTGTTATGGTATATGTCTGGCCGTTTTGAACTCTGGCAAGACAGTACGACCACAGCGTTGTCGGCAAAGGTTTGGCTGGGTGCTCCACCGCCCTCGTTCGACGAACGTTGTGAGCCCCTTTACTGAAACTGCTGGTTTGGCTGGATGCTCCACCGCCAGTAGAGGACGTGAAGGTGTCAGACTGTACGGCAACAGCGTTGTCGGCGAAGGTTTGGCTGGGTGCTCCACCGCCTAAGCTTGATAAACGCTATAAGGCACAATAACCGAAACTGCTGGTTTGGCTGGGTGCTGCACCGCCAGTAGAAGACGTTGTGTGTCGGCTGTGCAGCGACGGATAGACCCTTGAAGTTTGGCTGGGTACTCCACCGCTTCTGGGAGAAATCTGTCGGCCGCCCCGCATTTGAACTCGCACCTCGCCCAGACTTTGCCTCCTGTTCACCAACATAATTCATTTTCCTGACTACCGTTTGGTTATTTATGCCCGTTATAAACTGCTTTGCTTGGCTTTCTCCCTGGCTGGTTAAACCTCCGCATAATTTCTGTCGCTTTGCTAGAAACTGCCGCCGATATTTATTTGTAGAATTACAGTAACCCGTAATTATTTTTCTGTTTCAGAACCATTGGGGACAATTTATTTATTGATTATGTATTGTTCTAATTTATTAACCTTATTTATTCTTCCCTTTCTAGCACCGACCGAAATTTAAAACCGAATATTATTTTGGCGTACCGTTTCTGAAAGTATTAGATTGTTTATTAAATAAACTAAACGCCAAATACTCCGTTTTTCTACCGTACCGATTTTTGTGTCCTGATATTTGACTACGTGCTAATTTTGTATTTATTTACAGCACCGAAAAACCGCATAGGCATTTTAAATCCGTCGTAAATAATAATTGCTCTAACCCATTTTGTTGTAATTACACCGCTTGTAAATTATTTGTATATTCCTGATTTTAGTTAGTTATAATAACTGTAATTAGAATCTATTTTACTTTTGTTTGTTTGAATCTCCGTAGGCCTTATTAATATAAAATAAATCTAGTAAATATATTTCCAGTTTGTATTCATTTTTAACGCCGACAAGTTTGATAAAATTCCGATCAGTGAAAAAAGTCTTCTTATCTTTTTGTGACCCACACTGATAAGACCGTTTATTTTAAAAGTAAAATAACACTACACTCAAAGAACTACTTTGATTGAAAGTAAGAGAAATATAACAGACCCCTGGATTTAAACTTTCTTCACTGCAGCTATCCCGAGTACTTACTCTAAACCGAGGGTAGGGTTCACGTGGAGTTTCTCCCACGTAAAAGATAGGGAAACTGGCGCCCGAGACAATCCGAACAAAATGATTTAATCCGGAGTACGTTTCTGTGACGTCACTCACCACCACCGGCTGCCAACCACCGCTGCCGATAAACTAGTAGTCAAGGGTCGTCATAAAATTAGGCGTCCAAACAGGGACGTCAGTGACGTCAATAACTATAGTAAATTAGAATTCGAATTTGCGAATTAAGATTCCTTTTAGAGTTGGTAGTATACCGGGGGCGGCCACAAGTAACGTCTGAACTGAACCGTCACCACCAAAATCAAAACCAAGTAAAGTACGTTACAATATTGTAAATGCAACTAAAAATTTCCAGATGCATTTAGTCGTTTGACTTTGTACATTTAAAAATTTTTGCCAGAGGTGCTTTTGTTTTCTTTCTTGCCCACCTAATAAAAGACCCACGGGCCTCACCTATTCACAATGCCACGAGCTGCCACTGCATAGATATTGTACTCATAAATACGTAGTAGAGGTGTTTCAAAATCTTATGAGCTTTGACCTTCATACGCGCAGAAACATAATTCCGACCGTCGCCCATATATATATATATAAAACATATATAGCTCTATTCAACATCCACGTGAAGCAAACATTATGAGATAGATGTATACAAATCTCGCATAAGTCTATCTCTCAGCTGAGCATACTTGTTTTGCGCAAGTGTAGGAAGCGCAATGTTATTGGTGGCATACGACCAATAAAAAAGTATTTTTTTGATATAAATATAATTCACTGGATTCACTACAATTTGCACAGAATTTTTTACGCATAAATAACCTATCTCACGCACGAAACGAATACAAACAGACGCCATTAACTTAAAAGCGAAGAGCCGGCCGAAAACCACTTGAGAAAACCAATCAGAAACGTGCATCATACGCATGAGCAGTTGGAGTCTGCTCAACTGAGAGACAGACTTATGCAAGTTTCATATTTCCATCTCGCTCTGATTTATTCACTTTCCACTTATTGTTCATATGGGGAAGGCGCGATATGTTATATATATATATATGCCGTCGCCTAAATTATTCTACGCCCTAAAAACATTACATCTATTATTCAGTCTATCTCGAGCTCTCGTAGCGTAAACAAGCCTTTATTCCGAATACAAATATCATAATAAAATGCCCTATTCTTTATTATTTTAATTTAAGCAATAAAAATATATATAACGAACGTTCGCTAGTTGACTTTATTGATGCCCGTGCGCCTTAATTCATTTCTGGTTGTAATGAGGCACGTGGTCATTATCAGTCAATGTTTTCACAACGTGCTTATTAGAAGAATTATGCGGATACGCCATGCCTTTCGCGCATTTCGCGGCTCATGAGATTTTGAAACTACTTTACCTACGTGTATCGTAATTGCCCATGCATCATAATCTAATAAATATCCAATTTAGTCCGTATTCTAAAAAAGGAAGTTATGTTTAGATCTAATGCCTCTTTTTTTATGAGCATTGCGCCAGAAGTTAAATGTGAAAACTTAAAGTAAAATATTGATAAACCTTCACCTTGCAACTTTAATTTCTATATTTCACTAAGTTCACTTCTTAAAATAAAATATGTATGTCTGATTCCTAGAGGTCAGTTGAAACTATCAGAAATTTTCTTTATAATCAGTGAAATTACTGACGGTGTGAAAGGGTTCCGAGACTACTGCCAAAATAAATCATTTATTCTAAATCAAATGAAACAATAACTATTAGGCAACCTTCATAGTATATAATGCATTTTCTAAATTTCTACGAATCTGTAAGGCCAGCGACCGAGAGGCGGAATGTTTGCGTTGAGGGCAGACAGACAGAATCGGTGCGGTCGACACACCTGTCTACGCCAGGTTCTTTACCCTTTGGGTCCGTTCAGACGAGTACGAACTTACTGTGACTTTATGAATATCTGATGCTTGTTATTTTGTTAAATTGTACTGTTACAAATTTGGTCCTTGATGACGATACTGATTTTAAGAATTTTATATAAAACATTATTTAATGTAGGGCTACTAGTTCACATATTTCTAGCTTCTTATTTTTTTCTCTATTTATTGGGGTATTTCCCCTTCTGTGACAAAACAGTAATAAAATATTTTTAATTTGGTGCAAAGGTTAATTTAACTAATTTATTTTTTTTCGTATGGGCACCTAAATATATAGACGAAAAACCTGAAAAACATACCCATCTGCAATTTTTATTAATTGTTGTAATTTTTTATAATAAACTTTTATAATATAACCTTGCCCATTTATTGAATAATGGTAAAAAATCATTATAATAATTGGTATTATAATTTTTCGCAATTACGTATGTAATTTCATTCTTCTTTTTTCGATTTTAATACATGAGATTACGTAGGTATCATACTGAACTGCAATTCAGATGATAGGTAAAAAACACTTGCTTCTTAAACCTTAATTAAATTTTAATTACATTTCTCTTTCATTCCTAATTTTGCAAAAATATCGATTTTGTTACATAAATCAATTACTAAATTGGGATAGAACTACTACCATGCTTCTCATTTAAAATAAAATACTTCTACTTATTATTAATACATAATTATTTAAATCAGCAAAAAATAAATAATAAGTATATTTTCAGTTTTTAAAATAAAAAATCGATATAAATTTTCTTAAATATTTATTAATTCCTACATAGATCTGTTAGAAATTTGATTAGCATTTATTATTATATCGTTTTTTATACAATGTAAATTATTTTAAGATTATATTTATTTTATTCTGATTTATTAATTATTAAAATTTTTATTTAATTTAAAATTAAAAATAAAATATTCAAATGTAAAGAATAGTTAGGTACATCAAATATGACTCGTTAAAATATGAACATTTCGACTGAAAAAATGTTTATACGCTTTGAACACCAAATATAATACTTTTTTGCTCACCGTTCATATTCCACTTATAGCGTCAACATGACGGATAATTTGATTGGTTCATTCTGAGTAAGCACTCCTGTCGAGTTAATGCTCTGTGGTTCTTGGCAGCTAACACGTTCGTTGATTTCAGTAAAACGTTATTATGGGTAGGGTCGAATTTTCAATGATTGTTTTATTTTATTGGGACGGGTCATCTGGAAAATTTAAATTAAATTTTATCATATGAAATTCCTGAAGGATCAAAATTAAAACAAATAACATGACTATAAAAGATACAAAATTATTAATAAATTTAAGAAATTGATATACTCATCTGTTATTTTTTAAAAAGAATTTTATTCTAAAACTTGGTGAGTATTTATTAATAAATCCATATATCACAGCATCTTTTTTTTATTTTCTAATACATGGACATTACACCTATACAAGTACCTATATTTATTTCGTCTTAAATATATACGTTTATAACTATCATATCACCAATATTCGAAGAATCAAAGAGATTTGAAGTATAGAAGATATTCTGAAATGGATTGGGAATGAGAATGAAATTCGGCGGTGTAATCAATCCATCGGTATGAAAATGTTTAACTTCAAAGAACAGCAAAACTCATTCAATACGAATTTTTTTTACCTAATAGTAGAAATAACTTAAAAATTTTCTTATATTCATTATGACAACTCTTGAAAATATAAGGTGGAAAGATTTTCTTTACAAAATTTTATATTCAATATTTTCAGATTTATATTTATATTTATAAAGACTATAAATTTTAATATTTTTAATTAATTTTAACGTCTGATTTCTTTGATAAATTAACTAATTAACACGAGGGAAAATCGCAGGAACAATTTAGTGTATAGATTTTGATTATTACTAAGTAGTCGAAATAGGTACAAATGAATATTTTAATCTGCTCCGCAGAAACAGTTTTGTGCTTATTATTTCTGTGGCAGATTGCAATTGACCCTTGTATAATAGCAGCATTGTACAGTCGCAGTCGGAGTCGGAGTCAGGAGCATTATGAACAAGAAGAAACTGTATATATCTGTACCTCAGAACTAAACTGTATTAACTCCATTTTTTACGAAAATGGGATTATTTGACAGCCCAAACAGTTTCTTATGCTCTTTCACGTGCTAAACAGTAATAACTCCCACTCATGATACTTTCGAAGATAAACAGTGCTAAATAATAATAAGTCCCAACCTGTCTCCAAGCTAGACAATCGTATGTGTATTTAATATTAACCGTGTTTCATTTCCACAGTATTAAGTTCCTTGTTACATCAATTTAGTCCGAGCCAAACAGGTGTATGTAGAGTTAATATTCTATTAGTTTGACTTCGGAGTATTAACTCCACACACATTTCAAGATCATGTTGGTTTACTTTAGTATTATATCCACATTCATCGTGTATTATCGCACAATTAGTAAACTAAATCATGTTTGTGCCAAATAGTGTTAACTCCATTTTTTCGAAAAAAAATACGAATAGAAAATTATTTCTTAAATTACAATAAATAATATTAAAATAGACGTATAACTTCACATCATACTAATTTTTTTTATCAAGGAGAAGTAAGAGTTCAAAGTTATGGAATGATAAGCAAAATTTAAATCTTTAAATCTGTCTCCTGTAAAATTTCATTTTTGGCACTTAATACAGTTTAGCTCTGAAGTACAGATATGCAATCGGTACAATTCTGCGGAGCAGTTTGCACCTATTCTTACACAAACACTGCTCCGGCCATTCCTAATACTGACAATGAGTAATATTTGAGAAATATTACTATAACTTGGGTCATAAAACAATTGATTACGCTACATGTAAGATGCACGTATGAATGAAAATGTGAAATTTCAGTACTTTCAATCAGTCACAACTCAGTTACAACTTCGTATTCAAATCCAAATTACAAGCAGTTCAAAACTCAAATTTTCCAAAAAGTGTCTCAAATCATTCAAGACGTTGAGAAAGTTTAAAACTACTATCAATTCCAAGTAAGTTACAAGGGCTACCAAGTCCAAGTATTTTCGTTTTCATTTATTTAAAAACAAAATTCAATTCTTTTTTGTAATTCAAATTTTCGAACCAAAATTCAAAATTTCAATTTATTAATTATATAATAATTAATAATAACAATATTTAATAATTATATTACTGTATAATTTAATAATTTATTTCAAAATTTTAATTTATTAGATTATATTAATCATTCACATTATCATTGCGTAAGGAAGAAGTAAGAGGGATATTTTGTTTACTAATATTATTACAAAATGGCATTTTGAAAATGAACTAAACGAAATTTACCATCAATATAATAAAATTGTTTTGAGGACATAAATAATTAAATTATATTGTTGGCCAAATGTACATATAATAGAAATTTTCTACACATTATATACAAATTATTATTATTTTTTACCTCTAGCAGAAAACTTTTTTTGGGACGCCTATGAAACTCATTAAATTTTAATGCTAGGCGTTTTTATACATGTTCAACTGACTTCGGAAAGACTATACTTGCATATATTTTGTACAAATTATACACTTTTCAAAATTATTGTATATGTATAGTTTAATTCGTATATAGTATTTCGACCTACTGAATCCGAATCTAAAGTCAAAATTCCCGGATTAGTTCATGCTTTTGCCTTAACATAAAAGACACTACTATTTTATTTATTTTGTCTAGCACAATTCGCCTGCTGAGGTGATGAACAAAAAACATACTGTATTTTTTTACTACCCATTCCTACGCCACTGACTTACAAAAATTTGTAAATTTTACAGTAAATTATGTACATGTGGAAAGGTTAACACCACACCAAATTTGAATCAATTTGTTATAAGCATACCAAAGATTTCGTAAATAATATGATATTAACAGACCAATCACTGTACAGTGAAAACGGCGAGACTTAGACCCTTGCTTTATAAGGCAATTCTGAATTATTTATTTTGAGTTCTATTTGTGATTAAAGTTTGATTAACTCGAACTGAAACACCCTCTATAGCAATCTTTAAAAAATATAATTGCCTGATATCCAATATTTGGCTCTCTTACAATTTATTTGTAGAATACAGTTTTGTTTTTTTAAATATGACCTTTAGGACATACCGTTGGATTATTTCTAAATTCGATATACTCATCTGATATGTCGCTCCCCATACAATAATACTATATGTTAAATGACTTTCTATTAATGCGTAATACAAAGTTTTCAGTTAATTTGTATTATAGCATTTTGCCAAGTAATTAAGTTTATATATCACAAAACGCAATTTTTAACAACATTAGTTATATGTGTATCCCATTTAAGGTGTGGATCAACGTTAACACCAAGATATTTTATTATGGGTACTTGGATTTCAACAATGCTTCCATCGACATCTATGGAAAGGGACTTATAGTGAGGTAAGTAACAGGAGTAACACCCGTTGCACACATGCCGGAACCGGCTAGCCGGATCCGGTTACCCGGTAGCAAGGTGTACAGTCTTATGGCAGCTTTCACACGCGACGGAAGGAGCTATCCGGCGAACGGCCGCCGGGTTGTAGCCGGTCGCCACCACTGCCAGCCCGGCTGCCGTGTACCGGCTATCCGGCGACCGAAGTGGTAGTAATGCATAGTTTTGTATTGACGCTTTCACACTTGCCGGGTGCTTGCCGGGTTCAGTCGTCCGGTTTCATTGAAAAGAACAGGACGTGTCAATTATTTATTTAAATATTTGTACGCGACTATGTCGAATGTTTGTTCGCTAGAAGTAGATATAGCATTCTTTATATCACTGCTTGAATCCAGACCTGTCCAGTGGGACAAAACTTTAGCCTTTTCATATTTTTTGGATATTTTTCATATTTTTTACTTTTTTTTATTGCGACGTCGGCGGTAGCGCAAGCCACATAATTGCAATGCGTCTACGATCCATCTCTTGTCGTGATAAAAATGAGACTAATATCGGCCAAATCGGTTTGAAAATTAATTTACGTGTGAAAGCGCCAGCCGGATTCGGATAGCCAGATCCAGTTAGCCGGTCCGGCTAGTGTGCAACGAGGCTAAGAGGTAAAAGGAAGGAAATACGTTTTATTAATATTTACGGTTAATAATCTACTATCAAACCATCTCATAATACCTGAAAAGTCCACTTGTGCAATTTTTTAAGATTCTCCCAACTATCTGTTTGATAAATAACTGCAGTATCATTCGCAAAACTTACTATATTCCCAGTTGTTTCAATATGATATAAATAATTTAAATACAAATTAAACAACACTGGACCTAATACTGTCCCTTGTGGAACTCCATATTTAATCGTCATAAAGTCACTCATTGTATTATTTATCCTTATACATTGCTTTCTATGACTTATAATCCAGTAACTTTGTCGCCTGAAAGTATGGGGTAGTATGCGTCAAATCCGGTAGTTCTGATTTTTTGCAGACTTGTTTATGATGTTGGCCTAATGAATAATCCAAGTTTATGACCTCGAGCGCCGAACGCAACTTTGTCAAAAATCGAGAAAACCACAAAAAAATCGTTTTTTCAGATTTTGGCGATTATAACCCTAAAGGACTAGTTTTTGAAAAAACTTTCTTCGGACGTTTTTAAAGTAGACTAAATTTGCTACAATATGATACTAGAACTGTCTCTGTGGACCCAATAGTTTCCGAGATTGAGCCTTTCAAAGCTTATCATTTTTTTCGAACTTCGCAATTTTTTGCAATATTTTAGACGTCACTCGAATAACTCTAGCGGGATGAAGTTCCAATTACCTCCGACGGACTGATCTAGTATTGCTCGTGTAAAGTCACGAATCCGACCCACCTGTAGCACGTTTTTAACCTTCCCTATTTTTATTTTTTTTTTTCATTTCAGTTGTTGACTGGCCTGCTGCCCATAACGTGAGTGTCGTTTGAACTCAAAATCTACAGAATGTCTGATCCCAGTCCCAGCGTGGGTTTGTGTTTTATATGTAAGGAGACTTTAAGTGAAGGTCAAGTGCGCCTAGTGAAGGAGACAGGTGTAAAAACCCTTCTTGCGTCGAGTATTTCCCTTAAGAACATAGAAAATCAGCGTTTATTGAAGGGTGTAAATGAGATATATGTGCACAGTGCTTGTCAGATAAAATACAACAATCCGAAGTTGATCAAAGCAGCTGTTAGCAGTGGAAAATCAAATATTA